ATAGAGGCAGCGATAGAATTACCTAGCATGATCGTAACACTTTTCTTAGTTGAAGTGATAGAAAACATTGTCCCATTCCCTGCTTTCTCTCTCCTATCTCTCCTCTTCTCTATGGACTATGCAAGGACTTGGGAGAGCAGGAAGGTTGATGAGGGTTTTGATGAAATGGAATGTGATATTTTATATGTAAAATAATTTATTTGACTCAATGTTGTGGTGCCTAGGACCCCAAAGCTGCCACGCTCATTTATTTTCCCAAAAAATATCAGAGCTCAATGCCTCATTACCACTCATGTTAGAGCCACAACACTCCCTCACACAAATTTTTTAAAATTTAGAGAAATTAAACTTATGGTTATTACACTAGCAGTAGCAAGCCAGCATTGGCGACCAGAGGTGGTGGGCAGCTGAGGGTGGTAGTGGACGGTGGTAGACGGTGAAAGTTAATGGAGGTGGATGTTAGTGGATGATGATGGTGCGTGGCAGTCAGAGGCAGCGGTGAGTAACAATGGCGGAAAGCTAAGATGGTGGTTAGCGAAGGTGGCAACGATTAGTGGTGCAAGTACGTGGTATATTTCATATTCATTTGAATCAAATGAATTCCAAATGCATTGAAAATAAACTCCATAACAAATTCCAACTAAATTGAAAATTTACTCCGAATTTAGCTTATTTCAAACCAAACACTATAATTTTTTAATTTATGATTTGATTTATGCTTCATTTGGTATAGCTTTCATATTACTTTATAAAACAACTTTATAATATAAAATTTGTTTGAAAAAGAAAATTTTGTAATAAAAAGCTGCTTTAAAATGATTACTTTCAACTTAACAATCCTGAAGTTCACATCTTTTATATTTCTATCTCAGCAATAAAACTATTCTTTTTATTTTCTTGAATAAAATAGGAAAAAAAAAATGGTGCGCTTGGGCAAGAGTAGATAACAACTCCAACGGCATAGAAGAGATTGCATTAAAGCGAATTAAGGTTTGCCCACAAGAATATGAGCAAAGAAAGCACTGAATGTGAAAGCTGAGCAGAAGTAGCAAGCACCAAAATTAACAAACAAGATAAATTCGAGGAGACACCATGGAACTGAAACAAACAGCAAAACAATCCGTGCATAGAGAGAGGGTCGATGTTGACACCATATCATCAAACAAAGATAACTACCAAAAAAAAAACATTAAAACTGGAATCCTCAAGATAAGGGTCCCCATCACCAAATGACCACACTTCATGCTCCATAATCAGGACAGCATCCCAGCGAGCAGATATTGCTCGAAGGATTCCCCAACTAGAAACACCCAACAAATGCCCGACAAATCCATATAATTGCAGAATATATGAGCTTCCATGTACAATCAGAGAATCATTTAAAGGCCAAGAATTTGACCCCACTGGTGAAACAAAAACACCTCTGATTGCACACAAAATAATATATGAATCATGAAGCAGATTTCGGAAATATATATTCTATTGTGATCGCCTTCCAATACCACTATGCATATCAAGTTGTCTAATTTTCTATTATATAAAATATAAAGAATATAAAATTAAAATTATAAATGTTCTAAATAAATTCTTTCTGAATCCTTTCTATCTTATAGGATCATGTCATGAATAATTTAAATGTAATCATGGGAGCAATTCATTATAGGTGTGTTCTACCCCATTGAAATCGATAGCACGTCACTTGAGATCTATAAGAATCAGCAAAGATGGTTAGCTAAATCTTGGCAGAAGGAACTTAGCACGAAAAGCAGTAATGAACAGATCATCCAGAGCCAAAAGCATAGGACAGCGCTAAATAATGCAGAAGGCAGATATGAGACCATAAAATTGAAGTTTACTAAGTAATACAACGGCACAAAAAACCTGTCTCCTGAGATACCCAGCAATGAAAATCCAACAACTGCAGCAAAAGCAAATCATTAATGATCAGAAACGACAATAGAAAAGGATTATGATATCAACAACCACTACCAAAAAACAGTATTTTTTCGCGTCGTATGCTAGAAGTGGTTTTGAAACCGCTGCCAAAATCCAAATTTTGCATCGGTTTTAACCGATACAAATAGCACCGGTTTTAAAACCACTGCAAAGTAAAATGTAGAGATTATAACTACTAGGAAAAGTCAAAAATTATGCTGTGATAGTCCTATTTTTTGATAGTAAACAGAGATCAGCAAATAATGATAGGAACCAAGAAAAATTCAACAGACAAATCTTTCAAAATTTTTGATGAGATCAAAACCAAGATCCGCAACACACTAGAAAAAAAAAATTTAGATTGACAAGCAACCAGAAGACATTTTATTAAAATTATTTGATAGTAAAATTTTATCTTATGACAAATAATGATTTTCTTAATAAAATATATATATCTTTTTCAGTGTGACACTTTTGTCAAGCTTTACTCATATATCAATACAAATTAAATCAAAACTAGGATTTACAAAGGGAGTTGTTTTGCCAAATTAGCTCTTTTGGTTCGTGACCTTAGACACACCTAGCCTCTACTGGACCACTTAGGTCCAACCCATAGGTAATTAAGGTCATCCGATCATTAATTGAAAGAACTCCTCTGACCATACAAAAGTAAATTTATTTTTACTAATGCTCATAGAGCTAGGCATTAGTCTCTAATTTTTCTCATCTAAACTTTTTTTTTTCTTTTTTTTTTTAATTAAAACCCACCACCGGGCCTACGCGTTAATATCGGGAAAAAGTTACAAAGTCCTTAAAGGGACCTCTAGCTCACTATTGCTCCAAAGAGCTACAATCAAAATAAAAAAGAAGCCTAAGAGCCGGAGTTCCCTACTAATCAAAATTACATAATAAACTAGCAACATTCTAATAAGCAGAAAACAAAAGAGAAAGGAGCTCACAAACAGCAAAGCCCTTCCAACAGCATCCGTATCCTGCACAAAACGAGCGCGGAGCTCCAAAAACCTGGAAAAAAAGGCCTGCAGAGATACTTATAGTTCTTTAATTTCTCCACTTGAGCATTACCTCTAAACCTGCAAAGAACTCTCAAAAGAAGCAAATAAACATGACCGAAAATATCACAAAAAAGAGAGCCGTAGTTCTGATGGAAGGTATTACAGATTACAAGCAGAATAATAGCCTTAAAATTAATATTGAAAATCAACTTAAAAAGCCTAGTGAGCCCAAAAACTTTCCCCTTCCGTAAAATCATATAGTCAGAGAGCTTAAAAACCTTATAATTCATCCAACTAAGCAAAATGTCCCCCTCCTTCCAGATGACAACCTCACAGCTATTAAAATGATACCGGAAATTGATCAGCCCCACAAGCCAATAAGACTTACATAAATAATCCTTCCAATCACATAACAAGGAAAATTCAATTTTCCAACCATACTCCAAGATGCAGGCAAAGACATCCAAAGCAATAATATTACCAACCAACATGCAGGACCACATAAAAATGAGACGAATGAGAAACAACCCAAAGACCAAAATCCAGAAAGCTAAAACCGAAGGGCTGGTGGAAGCACTGTTCCAAGCATTAGTCCATAAATACACAAGAGGAATAGGGAAATACTCAGCCAACCACAAAGCATTATAGGTAACAAAAAAATTAGAAGGATGAATCTTTAAAATCAGAGAACAAAAAACCCTCTGACCAATATTGCAGAAAAAAAGCATCAGCTTCCAGTAAATCATAGGTCCAGTCAAAAAATTGCAGCAAAACCTAGAGAAAATTCTAAAAGACTTAGTGACATTAATAATAAAGCCCGTCCGCTTGAGTCTATTTCTTCCTCTCCTTGACCGGTTTGTCCCCTAACCTAAGCGCACGCTCGTGTTAATACAAATTAAATCAAAACTAGGATTTACAAAGGGAGTTGTTTTGCCAAATTAGCTCTTTTGGTTCGTGACCTTAGACACACCTAGCCTCTACTGGACCACTTAGGTCCAACCCATAGGTAAGGTCATCCGATCATTGAAAGAACTCCTCTGACCATACAAAATTAAATTTTTTTTACTATTGCTCATAGAGCTAGGCATTAGTCTCTACTTTTTCTCATCTAAGCTTCTTTGTTGACTTCAGATGGTAAAGTCCTCAGACCAGGGAGAATTATAGAGCTTAATACATCACTTGAAGCAGTCCCCATTATAGTTAATATCTACTACTAAGTGGTTTAGGTTGGCTGGATTTTTCATTTTGAAGTATTTCATATAATTTTTTTTTAAAACTTAAGCACTTTCTATTCATTTTCCTAATTTCATGTAGCCAATCATTGCTAGTTAAGATAATTAAAATTTCTCCTTAGGGAACTCCACTTCTCGTATACAAAATACAAAATAATGTTGAATAAAATATTAATTAAACCTGCTAAAGTTTCTTAGCTATACAAAAAAATATAGTTCGCTAATCCATAGGTATTCACATGGTGACTGCATTGATTGCAATTAAAAGTAATCCTCCATTGTCCATCTGACTCCTCCAACTTTTGTCTCCATCAACCTTTCAACTCAGTCAAATCTTTTTCTCATTTACAGTAATACCATCGTCCTCTTCCCCGTTTTTCTCCTGCCTTCCCCTCCTCTTCCCCGACGAGGCGACGAATCTGTCTTCTCTTTTCTCAACAATCTCATCCTCTTATTTAGAAAATTTTTAAAAAATGAGGAATACTGCATATTTTTCTAAAAAAAAAATAAATATTTAAAGAAGTATGAACAAAAAAATATTATTAGGGTCCAACTTTTATGAAAGTTTTCAATTTTTAAAATTTACTGGTATATTTATAAGAGAATATTCTTATCCAATTATTTTTTCATCTCTCTCTAAAATAAAATAATTAGTTAAATATATTGAACATTTCACAGAATAAAATAAATTAGAACATCATATTAAAATATTTTTTTAAAAAAAGTATCTTTTACCTGTCTGTGTAACCACTAATTAAAAAAATAAGAAAAAAAAAAGGCTATCTTACATCCATAGCAAGCAGCAAATTCTCCATCCCCCAAAACTACTTGTCAAATACAACTAAAACACAGATCTCTTACTCTCCAACATCCCATTTCCCCTCTTCCCCAACATCAGCTGTTCGTTTTACTTCCCTTACCCTCTCCGCCAAATCATGCATCAAAAAAAAATTTTGATCTCCTAACCCTAAATCTCCATCCATGGACAGTCCTCCTTCCGATGAGTTCTCTATCACCATCCCAATTCCAATTAACCCTTCCTCCTCCTCTTCCACCGCTGCTTCCTCTTCTACCTCATCTTCCTCCTCCGCCCCTTCCCCAAGTCGCTACGAATCACAAAAACGCCGCGACTGGAACACTTTCGGTCAGTACTTAAGGAATCATCGCCCTCCACTCTCACTCGAACGCTGCAGCGGCGCTCACGTTCTCGAGTTCCTCCGATACTTAGATCAGTTCGGCAAAACCAAAGTTCACACGCAGATGTGCCCTTTCTACGGCCACCCCAACCAGCCCGCTCCTTGCCCCTGCCCTCTACGCCAAGCTTGGGGTAGCCTCGACGCGCTTATCGGCCGACTCCGCGCTGCGTATGAAGAGAATGGAGGCCGGCCGGAGACTAACCCCTTTGGCGCACGCGCCGTGCGGCTTTATCTCCGTGAGGTGCGTGACATACAATCCAAGGCGCGGGGAATTAGTTACGAGAAGAAGAAGCGCAAGAAGCCGCCTCCAGCCGCTTCTGCAGCAGATGAACAACATATGTACCCCCCCGGCTCTCCGCCTTCGGCTGGTTGCGCTTGAGATCTAGAAACTGGTAATATTTATATATATATATATATACACGTATAAATATTATAACTGTGCGAACTTCTGAGTATGAGATATATTATTGGTTGGCTTATTAGTTTATGCTGCACTTCGTTGAAAGAGTTGGAATTCATCTATTGGACCTTTGGACTATATCTCAATGCTTGATTTGGTCTGTTTTTTGTTTTCCTTATACGATACTGTTGGTATTGGAGTTGCTGTTCATAGTGGGGGTGACTGTGGGGGTTTAAGTAAAAGATGAGGAGAGCGAACAAGCGTATACAGAGATAGTTAACCCTTTTTTGGCCTTTCATGAAATTTACCGTGAAAGTCGCATATAAATAGGTTTACTGTACTGGAAAGGTCAGCAATTGTGCCAGGTTAAGTGGCTCCATGATTTGCTTACCTTTTTTAGTAACAGGAGGGGGGTGTTTGACATGATCGTTACCCGCATGTACTTCCCCTCTCAAGGTTTTCTATTTTGGCAGGAGAATAACATTTCTCAGGTTAATCTTAGTGGTGAAGCTGGCTAGCAGGTTTGTTCGGTTCTTTTAATGATTGGATGCATCTATTTTCAATAAGCTTGAGAGATCACTTCGCTGAACTTCTTTTTCCTTCTATGGCAATTGCAATTAGGTTTCTTTTTTTGGTCACTGAAGAGAAAGGAATGGAAGAGTAATCGTATGGTATCAGATAGAGGACTTACTGTGGTTCCTTCACCATAATTATATGGCACAAAATGACAAGTAGGGACACACATCCTTGACATCATTTTTGACTCTCTCCCTCTCTCTCTCTCTCTCTCTCTCTCTCGCTCTCTCTCTCTCTCTCTTCATAAATCACATCTAAATGTTCATGTTATGCTTATTTGAAAAAGAAAATATAACGCATAGCGTTCATTTCCTTGTTTGCTGTATGGATCGATGAATATGTAGGCAATTAGTTGATGAATGTGAGGACAAGAAGCCTCCTATTGCAATCCATGGAGGATGTCATGATGAGTAAGTAGCTTTGTAAATGTCATAAATGGTTGCACGACTTGCACTGTGGCTTTTTTGTAAAGTGATGGGGGGAATAGATGAGAGCTAAATGGTGAAATTTGAAGGTGTATTTACTTAATGCAATATAGGCAAAATAGGTTGCTTTTTGTAGATAGATAATAGGTTCCTATGATAGTGGAATGATAAAGGGTTCTTCTTTTGTGAAAATAGTATCGATCCTATTGTTGCACAGTGCTAATGTTTAAACATGTCGGAAGAGTTATTCTAATTACAATTGGGGCTGTTTTAATAGAACTAGTAGGATTTCTTCCTCGGAAGAATTGAGTGTTTCTTGCTTTGAATATAAGGTTGCTGAGATTAGAGTTTTAGTGAGAAAAAAAAGTCAAATTTTAAAGTTGCGTTTTTTATAATTTGAATCTATTGTGATGCTCCATTTATTGACAAGGGCCTCTAGGATAACTATTCACAATATCGTCTAGCATAGTAGGTTCGTAGGGAGCACATAATTGCATGAAATGGAGGACAAGTCTCATTATGAAGGTCATCAATTGAGTCAGCCACATATCTGTTAGCATAATAATTAAAATTTAGTAAATTAAGAATTAAATAAAAATGAGAAAACAGATATGATAAAGATCATCAATTCGTTATTTAGTGAGATCTATAAAGGGCTCCAATATATCTCTTCATTTTAAAGGAGAGATGCAACAACAATTAATCTTTATATCATGTTCAAGATTTTTTTTAAGGCTCAGTTTGGGATAGCTTTTTTAGTGCTTGTTAAAATAGCTATCTAGTACAAAAAATTTATTTTTGTACTAAAAAGTTGTCTTAAGAAATAATAAGAAAGCCATCCCAAATGAAGACTAAGGTTTCATTTGTGATGACTTTTTACTGCTTTTTAAAGCAGTTTTTTAATAAGAAATTAAGGCTTTATTTGAGACGACTTTTTTATTACTTCTTAAAATGGATTTTTAGCACAAAAATTTTAATTTTTGTACTACAAGTGTGTTTTAAGAAGCAATAAAAAAGTTGTCCCAAACGAAGCCTAAATTTTTGTATTTCAAAGCTATATCAAGAAGCAGTAAGAGAAAGTATTGAGATTTAAAAAAAAAGTTTACAAAATCTTAATCTAATACAACCTCTGATGACTATAAAACTTGGAGATTGAAGAAATTCCTTAGTTAGAAAAGTAGTCACTCTTGATGAGATCTTTTGTAGCTATAGAAATCATGAGGATAGAACTTGTGAAGCATAAAATTTTGACAAAAAGTTTCTTCTTCTTTTCCCTTCTCATAGGAAAGAATATTTTTGGGATCTCTTTGATAAGGGATTATATATTTGTGGAGAAAACCCACCTTCGGGCCTACAAGCTTATATCTTGAGAATCTACACCCAATTCCAACTAAAAAACAAATGTATATGAAGCATGACTTAATTATCTCTTAAAACAAGAATATAATGTCATTGTCATTATTAATGCTATATGGATCCACTAACTAATTATGAAGAGAAGGTTCAATAGATAGAAGAATAACTCCCTTATTTAAATTATAACCCCAAATATAAACCCTTTCACCTATAGTAGTAACAATACATGGATAACTTAAGCTTCATGAATCTAATACACCCCATCATATGAAAAAAAGAAATATCTCCATGTTGATTGGAAAGGATGCTTTCAAGGGAAATGGTGGATTATTGTTATTGTTAATATTGACATTTGAGGGCATAAATTCCTCTATAATCAGACTATTTTAAACCACCAAATTTTCACTTAAGGGAGTCAGATCACATATTGTGCACCTTTAGAATGGAAATAGTCATTCTAGTAAAATTTACTTGTTATGATTTTTCATGGATGATGTAACGTTAAATAATTATATAATGTCCATTCATTTGACCACGCGAGCAAATCTAGTTTTTTAAAATCATCTGAGTATCTATAATTTTTTTGAGTCAACATAAACTTTATCCTCAAAATTTTGTAAAGTATCCAACTAAAATACAAATCTTGGAGCAAATGTCCCATAGAGAAAAGTAGTAGGAAGATCATTTATGAGTAGCTGATAAATTATTGATGCTAAGAGAAAATGGGTATGAAATCGATCATTTACTAAGGAAAGAAAATTCAAATTGGGATTATGGAAGATTCCTTATTAAGAAAATTTTTAGAGGGGAGGGACGGGGGGATTTATGAATTGAGAATAAAATATCACTAATACACAATACAATTAAAAATATTAGAATAATCATCCCCATTATGAAAGGAAATAATTACTATATGACTATGATTTAAAAACCACATATTAATATATTTTAATCCTAAATTAGCAAAATGTCAATAAAAGATGTTCATGAGAGTATGTCTTGATTGAAATGTTCTCACCATTGAATGTTGAAAAGTAGTAGCAAGATAAAAAATTCCTAATTAAGTAGAATTATGTCATTCCATCGAAGCCACTACCTTTTATTCACGTCCTTCTATTGCTAGAGTGCTTGTTTAATTAGATATTACCAAAAAATATTCAAAAGAAACATGTGTTGGCCCTGAATCATTTGGTTATATGCAGAAATGTAAATTAAAAAAATGTTCTATTTTTTGTAATAATTGCAAAATTCGTGGTCTTACTTTTGTCAATTATTTTATTTTATATCCCCACTTGAGAAAAGAGAAAGCCAAAGATATCGGTAATGACATGCCTCTTAATGTGTCTTTTATTGATAGTGATGGCGCTGACATTCATGATGTTAATAAAGAATGTGTGTATCCTTCTAATGTTATTCCTAATGATAACTCTAAACCCTTGGAAGATATTGAGGAATCTGTTTTGACATGTGCTATTAACTAGAATTTAAAAGCTTCTCCATCAACTACTCCTAAAATTCAATCTTTTGTTATGGAAGATGATTTAAATATCAATAATAGTAAATCTATTATTCCTTCATCCTCTATTGATGTTGTTCCAAACTCTATCAATGTGAATGCTAATTAATATTGACCTTGAAGTTCAAATTTGTAATCAAATAACTACTTTGTAGGTTCTAATCCTTCTTCTAGTAGGGATCATTTGCTTGCTATCGCTCAAAAAGAGTACAATGATAAAGAGAAAATAAAACCTTTGAGCATATGATGCCAACTAGTTAAAATTCAAAAAATAAAAAATTAAAGAAAGGATCTAAATTATGGAGGGCTAGAAGCTGTGACCCAAAAAATTGAGATCGAAGATATGATAGATCAAGAATGACCAACGATCCCTTCAACAAAAAATCTGCACAAAAAGAAGCAGGAAAAAAAAAACATAATAACATATAATAAATCAACAAAATAACAAACAAGGTTAGTAAATAAGGAAATTATGGGCCCAAATCAGGCCAAAGTATCAACCAACAACACAACTAGAAAAAAAGATACTATATATAATTTAGTGAGACTAGCATAAAGAGGATTAACAAAGCAAAGGCAAAATCTAACCACTACTAGCAAATATAGGAATATCCAATCGCATCCAAAATAATATTACATTTCAGTAACTTAGGCATATTGGTATGAGTGTAAGAACTTAAATCATAGATCGAAGATGCAGAATTCACTAGGCAGATAACACATCCATTCACAACTTTAACAATAGTAGATATATTATAAGCCCAATCAGAATGATCTGTAGGGTCAATATAGTGTAAACCTGAATGTTGCAAATCATCATCCAAGTAAATACATGCAACATAAGGAATAGGAGAGATAAGTAAGTTAATAATATGGGCACTATTAGAGATATATAAATATTCAATAAGAAGATCAAAAGCAATTATCAGATTAGAACTAGAATCCACGTTATTGCCCACAATATAACAATTGACATTTAACATACTATTATCAGTCTGAAGAAGCAAATTATTACCCTCAGATTTTAAAATAAGTGCTTATCAGATATATTAGAAATATGATAAATATATGTATCCATTTTATTGCCTTCACAATCCAAACCTTTAAAAGAATTAACTCTAGAAGGACTAACCATAGTTTTGGCAGTATTATTATTAGCATTAGCAACAATAGAAATGTTTATAAGAGAAATCAACAAATCCTTTTCTAAATGCAACTTAACTAAAGCAATATTATGATCATTCAAAGCCCAGCCAAAGAGGATAACAAACCTGGTGATCAAAAGAATTCTCAAACCCAACAACCGCAGCCTCCAGTTGTAAGAAGCCCAGCCAAAGAAGGAGATAAAATAAAAACTTGAAAGTAAGGCAAATAAGGAACAAGACAAAGCGAAACCAACAGCCAAAATGAAAAACACCGAAACAATCTACCCAGA